GGGTTCAGGCGTTCAGCTTCAGTAGTTAGCCACTGTGCCATGATGGGGTTCTGACTCTGTTAGTGTTGGAATCTCGGGAACCCTCCATGCCTGCTGGGGAAGGAGAGAAAGGAAGAGCTGGGTACACGGTTCGGGTCAACCCGTAAGCTATGGTAGTGACTTGACTTGAACGAAGGGATCTTGTATTGTTTGTTGTACATATATAGCCCCGGCTCCAAGCTCCAAATTTCAATTGGTGTAAAAGGGGAAAAACCAAACGCAACGGGCCTTACGCGAAATGGGAAAGTTGGGTTGGGACTGAGGGTTGAAGTTGAAAGTGGGCCAGATTCCTGGCGTAAGACCCACAAGGCCAACTGGCCACGTAAAAAAACTGTTTGAGCAGATGGATTGAGCACTAGCAGTTCTTTGATCAAAACCATTTCTTTGGTCTTTTCATCTGACACATCACTGTCCTGCGTTTTGTCTTCTATTATTCCTATCTGCCCTCTGCCCACTAAAGATATAGTGGTAGTGGGGGCTACAGGGATAGAACTGTAGCAGCCCTATTCTTCCACGTGTCTATCTCACCGGCTTTAATAGGAAGAGGACAACCATTTATGTCATCCTCATCCAAATAGAAGAAGAAGATCCATCCTATGAAGTTTCTTGAGTTGATACTTTAATTCCATGGTGGACTTATTTTCCATGTTTTCTGGCCAATGTTTGCAGCATTGTCCCCAAATAATAATCCTGGATTCACGTCAAGGACCTGTTGGTATTATAATGCTAATACTTGCCTATCACATCTAGTCCACCATGCCAAAAATATAAAATTCGTTTATTTATCACTCTTTCTCTCTCCACTATTTTTCGAATTCATCTCTCTCTTCCTTTCTACACTTGCACAAAGGATCAATTAGATTGGCCACATACTCAAACCTACAGTAAATATCCACTATTTGGCTCACTTTGTATATTGCTGGTCCTTGGTCCAAAATCATCTCATTTGTAGTTGAAATTAGAATCGGAATGGTCTATTTTTATAGTCTTTTTAGTTCAAATAAAAATGAGAATGGGAATTCAAATCAGTAAGAATGAGGTTTCATTCTCAAGGGAAGAGCAGAGGTTATTTTTTGATCAAATGGAGGAATATAATGGGATTTCGATTCCGCACAACCAAATAATTAGAATCAGAATAACCCATTCGATTTCAATTCCAGACCCCTATTCCCGTGAACCAAATGGGGCCTGAATACCGTATATGGTCAGCCTTGGGTTCCTCTAGGTTTTGATTTCATCCAACATAAGAATTATTGCACTACTACATGAGACATAAAGTAGAGACTAGAAAAGATGGATTTTGACATAATTCGTGATATGGATTTGAATAAACTTGAGCCATGAAATATATAGGCTGTCTATCTTTGAGAACCATCTTTTTTTCTTTGTTTTGCCAGTTGTATTTATTTATGGGTTCGACTATGTTGCCAGAAATATGATACTGAAAAAACTTACAATCAATGAACCAACATCATAAAATAAGAATTAATCAGGTGTTTTTTACCAAAATTAATGGGATTGTGATTGGTCAAAGCATTTCCTGTATCATGTCTTTTGGCATCACAGATTTTCCCTTTATTTATATTTACATTTAGGCACGAAACCTTTTTCCTATATATTTTCTAATTTCTCTTTATCGTTCTATTTTTTTTTTAATGAAATGTCTCCCAAGAGACTATTTTCTAATTTGAAGGTTTATTTATGCCTTTCAATGGCTTTATATCTCTGAATTCGACACTTCGCTTCCGGCACTTGTTAACATCGCGCTATTCTCGCTACCACCGGTGACTTCAATTCCGAGCAGCAGAGGTAGTGCTGGAGATGGCATGGAAGCAGCTCCATTTGTGTCCTTGTTACTTTGTCTTAATTGTCTTGAGAGATCTTTCTACATTGTGGTTTTCCATTTTGGAGCTGGAAATTCTCAAGAGGTGCTTAAGGTTCTTGATATGGGATTGATGAGTAAGAGGGACACATGTGCCGGGATTTGGATGTGGCAATAGAAAAAATTTCCACAAGGTTGAGTGTTTTGTCTACTGGTAAGAATCAAGATGGACGAGGGAATGGTTGTGAGGAGGGAGTAGGGGTGCAACTTGGGTGGGCTCAACCCGAACCTGAACCGGCCCAGTCCAAAATTTTACATGGGATGGGCTTAGATTTTCGGTCCTCAAGCTGGGCTTGAGCCCAAGAAATTGAGTTTTTTTTTTATTTTTCAGGCCAGGCCTGGGCCTAGCCATTAAATAGTCTGAACTCAGCACGAGCCCAGCCCAACTATACACATGTGTGTGTATATATATATACACACATTTGTGATTTGTATACATATTTACCTATTTAAATACATATATGTATAATTTTAGAGTTGGTTCATTAATTAACCCAAGCCCGGCCTGGGCCCAAGCCCAACCCGAGTGCATTAGACTACAGTAAAAGATGAGCTCGGGTTGAGAAAATCAAACTTGATCTTGGGCCTGAGTTGACCATAAACCCGACCCAACCTGCCCGATTTGCATCCCTATGAGGGAGAACAAAGCTTGTTTTTAATTAGTTGTGATGGTCTGAACGAGGCGGAGGGGACATCCGTTCTCCTTTATACATCTATTTCCTCTTCTTAATATCGTTGTCAATTCATTTAACTTGGTGGATTATTATTGGTGAAAGTAGGGGTGTTCACGGGTCGGGTTGGGTCGGTTTCATGGGATTTTCCCAACCGACCCAAC